ATGCTAAGCTCAAGGTTGTGCTTATAACGTCACCAATTGGGTGTATTTAGCAGTCGTGTACAAGTGTGCTGAGCACCTGATGATGCCAGGTTAACATTGGCGAAACGTTGTTTTTAAATTGTACGTTTTTTCTACCCCCCACTTTAGCTGTTTTCTGAATTTTAACATTTTGTAGAGTGTGGAATATCTCCAATATTTATCAAACAAACTGATCATGGTGTTTTTGTCATAATGAAAATTATGTTTTGTGACTATCAAAATTATTCTTTTCGTAATTAGATTAGATGTGTTTGAACTGACGTACATCGAAAACCGGAACTGGCGAGAGAATCAGTTAATAGGATGTCTTCTATACACGTGTTTAGTTAAAAATAATCGATACATTAAAGATCTATTCTTAAAGTTTGAAATTCAAATTTTATTTTCCAATCATATCAGAGAGCAGCTCTCACCGATAGTGTCAAGATGAGTTGGAGAAAATACCATAATACGATAGGGTTTTAGATGACGTTACTAGAACAGGATAACGTTTTAAAACGATATATAATACGACAATAAAACTTTTCTCACCTCAGAGTTCATGAAGCAATATAGAACGGCTACAAATATGCCCTGTTAAAAAGATTTAAAAGAAAAAGTTAATTATTGCAACTAAACAAATACACACACACGTACATTCGACACAAATATTACATGTACCTAACATACAGAATTAAATCGAACATTAAAGAATTCTGAAATACAATTGATTGATTACTTTATTAAAACTCTCAAATATCGGGTTGAACCCCCTTTCGTTGCGATAGTAGTCAGGATTTGACGTCAAATGGACTTAACAAGAAACCAGTAAATCTCATGTTTGATCGTAGCTCATTTTTAGAGGCGAATGATTTGAAAATTATGACTGTTTCACCTACTACCGCTACGTTTTTTGGTTATGTATGTATATATATATATATACTACGCCATTTGAATGGGGAATATTTGCTCATTAGGGTTGAATTTTTCTAAAGGAATCGTATGACTCGACCTTTGTAACATGATCGTTCCTACACCACCTCCAGCACTCACTGTCAGAACAACTGAAACTATGGTTTTCTCTATATTTTTACTCTACAGCTAACATAATGAAAGGTGAATCACATCACATACCGCTAGCCATTAAATTTCTATAGTTTGAGTTCTCAGTATCAGTAAAAAATACGATTCCTTTCTGTGTCTACGATACCTAGATTTTGCACTAGTTGTCCTTTTCTGTATGACCACTGCTGTAGTGTCCTCCTGGTGGTATGGTTGGAGTTAAATGATATATTGCCTGATGTCTATTGCACTTTATGAGTCTTTTTAAGCCTCTTTCCCAATGTTTAGCAACTAGTAGTTAACGCACACAGTTGTTTTCTTGGTGAAAGGACCCGACATAGCCAGGTGGTTAGAGCGCTTAACTCGCAATCTGAGGATCGCGGGTTCGAATCCCAGTCCCACCAAACATGCTCGCCCTTTCAGCCGTGGGGGCGTTATAATGTGACGGTCAATCCTACAATTCGTTGTTACAAGACTAGCCCAAGAGTTGGTGGTGGGTGGTGATGACTAGCTGCCTTCCCTCTAGTCTTTCACTGCTAAGTTAGGGACGGCTAGCGCATATAGCCCTCGTGTAGCTCTGCGCGAAATTAAAAACAAACCAAACCTGGTAAAAGACGTAAATCTCTTTCATTTTTCACTCCAGACAGACTCCAATGACAGATGTGTTCGAATATAGTTTAAAAAAAGTCGTGGCTAACGACGTTCTTGCGAGATAGGCGCTCATTATCTTCGTTTACTCTTACTCCTTGTATAGTATACTAACTATGACGTGATTAAATCTTTGCATTTTTAGAGCTCAAATAAACAATTGACGTTGTATATAACCAGCTTATCGTTGAATGCACAATTAGACTGAGTTTTCTACAAACTTTGACGTATGAGTGTGGGAGAGTCTTAATAAAGTGTCCAGTCATTGAAAAGTACTACAATTACGTTAAAAGGAGTTATTTCACTACATCAGATTAACAATTTGAGCTGTCTTGATTATTAATATTTATTTAACAATTAAGAAAACTATTATCTGGAGATAATTAATTGACAAATTCTTTACCAAAACTTAACCCTCGTGTTTTTTGTCCATCTCCCACTCGTCCACCGCATTGAAAAAAACAGCAAAAACAACACGTAACCATTTCTTCTGCAATCCGTGAACCGATTCTTGATTGGTCAACTGTTAATGTCAGAAATTCTTATTTGCGTTAGTCTATGATCCCACCCTCGAATACCCTTTTCCTTACGCTAACGTTTTAGCCATCAGCGCATTATTTCCGTTAGGGCAAGCCCTATTCGACATTAATAACATTTCCTTTTAATGCTTTTTCGTCTCGAATCTACCAATTTTCGTTATCAGCAGCTAACCTTAAACCATGTATATTTGGAGCAGTTTCAAACAGTGTTACCAACCAAAGCAAAACGCAAAGCATTATACGGCGGCGGAAATGGAGAAATATCAAGAAGTACTACCTCCCAGCACTACCCCAAATCCCCTAGTTGGAGCGGAAGGGCACTCTCTCCTCCGTTAGTCTCCCTCATTTCCATTTTATAAAGTTGAGAATCCTGATATAATTAAAAACTATTATTTCGTGATTATTAACTTTGTATTCATGTGTAACCAACAATTATTATCCATATTACAATATAGATGTGCAAACGCAAAGAATTTGTCAATTTTCAAGACACTACCCTCAGATTTTCTATACTTATTTCGAATAACGTGAATATGCACGTCTCGTTGTTAGAAATCAAAATTATATACAGTTATACATTAAAGGGATTTATTTACACTGCACTTTCTGGAGTTAGGTCCCGAATGACGAAGATCGCCATCATTTTTGGCACCGTATAAACAATTCCACAGTGACATCTCTGACGTCATATGAAGCTATTCGTTTTATTTTGCTTTGGAAGCGTTTTGCATTGTTTGTTGACAATAAAGCTAATAGACTTCCTTTTCAATTGTAATGAAATAAACTTCCAAATCGTTTCTGACTTTGTTTCTTTAATATTTTAGCCTCTGCTGCGCGAGACTATTATATTCAGTAATGTAATGAGTCATATGGTTAATTGAGTCTGTTAGTTCCTATGTTTGAATCTGACTCATTTGAGTGCATGGGTTCACTAATGCGCTTGCTCGATTGCACACCGCCCTGCATAAAGCTGTGCACGCCATTATTATTTTGCTTACAGTCCAGGAATCAAAGTTAGTACGTGTGATAACCCTACCCCCATTTCATCGCGAGGATACATTCTTCCAACCTTCAAATTTACGGAATAACCTTATAAATATTTTACGTACTTTGTGATGCCCTAATTATTGAGGGGCTACATTAATTTTAGCTATTTTCTAAACACGGACCATCGATCGAACAAGGACTGTTGTTTTCCTTATTGTACATTTTACCATCACTGCGGATTATTCATAATTCCCAACTAGTTATGATCATAATGCACGAAAGTGTGCACAGTTTCTTTCATTTTTAGGGGGAAAGAAAAACAACAATTCGTTGATTACGTCACTACTAACTTGTTAATACAAAACTTGTCAAGGTAAAGAATACATGAGCTTATGTTCACTGTAAATAAAAATTGATATCTACAGAATCTGTTTAGTAAATTGATAGAGGACATTGGAAAACAATAATCACGAGAGTCCTCGAGATCTCCAGGTATTAAAGAATTCTAAGTTTTTTATAAGTCTTTACAAACCAAAAAAAAGAAAAAAAAGCAACGTATTCAAACGTTTTAAAAGAGGTAATTTGTATTGTTTATTTTATAGGAATAATGTCTCTACTTATCTTACCAAAAAAGTGTTGAAGTATTAGAGTATCTAATATTTATAATTTCTCATTATTTTGTATTTTAGAAATCAGATGGGCCGGGCGTAGTCTAGAGATTAACGGGCAGAGCTGCATATTTAAGGTTCAAAGTTTGAGCCACAATAAGCCACTGAATATGCCCCCAACTTTCAGCTATTGAAAGTGTTATAACCGTGACAGTCAATCTCGCTATTTCGTAGTCTAGTGATTAACGTGCAGAGCTGCATATTAAAGGTCCAAAGTTTGAGCCACAATAAGCCACTGAACATGCCCCCAACTTTCAGATATTGGAAGTGTTATAACCGTGACAGTCAATCTCGCTATTTGGCTAAGAGTAGATGCATAGGCGTCAGGTGCTTCTGAGTGGTTATCCACCCTTTTGGTCATTAGTTTCAAAATTAGCGATAGCTATGTCTGAACTTATGGAGTTTCTCATATAACCATTTAGTTCATCTGTTGAAAAATAATACCACGTATCAGTAATAAGTTAATAGCAGTGGTTTAGAACTAACTTAAGACAGGTTTTACATTGAATTACTTTGGCGGTAAGTATTTTGATTAAAGTTTAAATAATGATAATTACCTCGCTGTTGTTCTCTTTAGTCACTTGAAGAGGCTTAAGAATTGTAGCCAGATGGTTGTGATTATACTCACATTGACTTAAAGTATACCAGAAAAATGCTTAATAAATATTCCATTGGACAGTTTTCGTTTTTGTAAATAGAAATCAAATTCGAATCACCGCAGTTCATCCGAGTTTTTCGTTTGTGTGTGTTCAGGATCAGTACTGCGTTCTACCGCAAATAACTCATCTTAACACTAAAGTAACGCTCCACTGCACGAGTTCTTCCGTTACTAGACTGAAATAATGAGACTTAATAGACGTGTCAACAATTTGGACGTGAACTTGTCAAAGGAGGATAAAACGAAAGAGTTAGAAAGTGTTTTTTTTTTCCGCCAGATGTCACACTAATGTGCTATTTAGATTTACTTTCTGAAGCGACAGGCGAAGAGCACTAGTTTTATAAAATTTATCGCCAGTAAGAATTTTGTCCATATTTTTTGTCTCATCCTTCCATATAAAATTAGATTTAAAAGTCTTACTTGTGAGGACTGCAACAAGGCGTTAGTGATCATGTACGCCCTCTCTAGGTGAGCATCGTCACGAGGATTGATGCAGAAGAGAAGATGGGTGATTCCGAGCAGAGGGAAAAGAAGAGCAGTAGCTTTGATGGCTTTCCTGTAAAATAGTTGTTTACTGTATACTGACGTTCAGCTTCTTATGGAAACATTTTTACATTTCATTTGAATAAAAATTCCTAATATGTTTCATGGATTTATGTTTTATTTATTTTTATTCTAAGGCTGTGACATATTTCTATTTTATAAAATAATTTTGAAAACTTCGGTAAATCCTTGACGCCATGTTTATATATTTTATGATTTAATCTTATATAAGAGCAAGCCTGATATAAATTTTATAGAAAATATTTAACGTTTTTATTTTTATTTCTTTTAAAGAGTACAAAATTCCATAAATCTATCAACATCCGGGGCTTCTGCTATATAGGAATACATTCAAAAGTTACGCTATTGGTTGAAAGAAAAAAAAATACCCTGAAACTGTTTATAGTTTCATCAGCAATGTTCGAATACCTTTCAGTTGTAAAATATGCTCAGGATTGGTCATTAAAGTAATCAATAAAGACGTAAATAATTCCAAACAGGACAAACACTAAAACACTTTTGAATTTCTGTGTTGCTACTGTTAAAAAATTGAATTGCTTATAAAATAAAAAAACAAATATTTCACTAAATATGTAAATATTTTCTTATTTTATCACACTTTTCTAGATACATATAGTCACTCGTGTGTTTATTTTTCTTTAAATCTTAAAATAATTTATACCAACGCTGAGCGTGAGATTAAAACAAACAAGAACTAATCTCTACTTGACTTGCGTGGTTTCTATGGAATTGTTCATGTGCAGTGAGAATAAAACAAACAAGAACTAATCTCTACTTGACTTGCGTGGTTTCTATGGAATTGTTCATGCGCAGTGAGATTAAAACAAACAAGAACTAATCTCTACCTGACTTGCGTGGTTTCTATGGAATTGTTCATGCGTAGTTTCGTCACCAATATACGTACAACGTTCACTAAGAAGACAGTGTTTACCTGAAAAAAAATCAATATAGCCAATCAAATTCCCGTCCGTCTTCTATATGTTTGTCTCTATGTACAAACGTATATATATATATGTGCATACATAAATATACATATAGCAGTAAAGGGAGCAGAAAGCGCACGAGAATCTACGTAAATTATTTATGTATACACCAACTTGCAGTTATTTGTAAGTCGAGTTTTCTTTTGTTCCTGTTTCCTCATGGTATTATCCTTGTTTAGATGAAATTTTCTGTCCCCCATATATTACTGAAACTTATTTTTATACTAAATACATAAACAATAGGAAACTAATGGGGGTTTTAGATTTACATATGATGAGTGATACACTACCAAATGGGAAGTGGCTAACAAGAGACAGGCAACGAGGGTTAAGTTAAATCAAGACAAACGCCAGACATATTTGTAAAATATTAAAGTCACTAAACAATTTGAAAGACACGCGACGTTCTGTGGCAGTTATATAACAGATATTCAGTACTATAGTTTAGGTCTTTTATCAGTATTCATCTTTATGTATCCAGAAACATGACTTTCGTATTTATTTATATAAAAAAATGACGTTCGTATCTTGGTAGAAATAGTAAAAAAAAACAAACAACAAAAAACTTTTTCACTATGCATTTAATATCGATATTCTATCAGTCCAAGCAGTAATCTTAAAATAAGCACGCAATGACTGAAGGAATAACAAAAGAACACCACTAAAACAACTAGTGGAATGATAAAAACAACAAGAACTAACTCTTCTGTAAACATAAGGTAGATATTATTATAATTAGTTTTCCAAACAACATCTAACTTTTCTGTAAACATAAGGTAGATATTATTATAATTAGTTTTCCAAACAACATCTAACTTTTCTGTAAACATAAGGTAGATATTATTATAATTAGTTTTTCCAAACAACATCAAACTTTTCCGTAAACATAAGGTAGATATCATTATATTTAGTTTCCAAACAACAACTAACTCTTCTGTAAACATAAGGTAAATATCATTATATTTAGTTTCCAAACAACAACTAACTCTTCTGTAAACATAAGGTAGAAATGATTATATTAAGATTTCCAAACAACAACTAACTCTTCTGTAAACATAAGGTAGAAATGATTATATTTAGTTTTCCAAACAACAACTAACTCTTCTGTAAACATAAGGTAGATATTATCATATTTAGTTTTCCAAACAACAACTAACTCTTCTGTAAACATAAGGTAGATATTATCATATTTAGTTTCCAAACAACAACTAACTCTTCTGTAAACATAAGGTAGATATTATCATATTTAGTTTCCAAACAACAACTAACTCTTCTGTAAACATAAGGTAGATATTATTATAATTAGTTTTCTAAGTTATTCAAACATCTGTATAGAAACGGTTATCGTACTTCTAATCACTTTTCAGATGTTAAGAGAATCCTTAGATTCTCACGTAAACACATTTCCATGATAAAATACAGGGATTATTCAGTAGTAGAATACATTTACAAATAATTAATGTTGTTTGAGCTACTGAAAGCGCTACAAAAGCAATCAACATAGTAATTAATGGTGAATCTATTGTATATTCCTAACGATGACTCGATTTAAACGTCTATCAAAATAAACAATTTTCAATAAGCTTTTAAATTGATACTTTTTACTACCTGCAATATTTGTTCTGAACGAAGTGATACTAATACGTTCTATTTAAATTCCTATCAAGACGTCGACTTGTTTTCTTTGTCGCGAAAAACACTAAAGATTTTAGTTACTTGCAAAGAGGTTTTGCAAATGTATATTAAAACACAGAATTTTTTTATAAAAACAACATAAATATAATGCAGGACGGAAGAGATTAGCACATAAAAAAAATAAATCCAAACTACCAACCACGAGAGCCGTAATCATGGGTCCTGTAACGATCCACATGTAATATGTTTTTCCGTACCCTTTCCAACATGGCGTATTCAGGAACCGAGCCATGATTATTGACCAGGAAATGATAAATAGTAACGGAAAACCTGGAAATAAAAGACTATCACATTACTATGGAACGGCCAAAAAGAAAAAAAAAACAAAACAATAACGTTACAACATATTGCTATAATTTTACTTACTTAAGGCATTACAAATCCTTATGAAGTAGAACACAGCGGGAAGGGATTTATTTCCTGTGCCCAAGTTTTATAAAAACTATGATTATTGATACCTATCGATTATTTCATCAGAGTTAATCTACACCAGACAGGAAAAAATCTACCCGAACTATTAATTACTCTGACACATTCATGCAAATAGATCCTAAAAGCTGTTAGGTAAGTACTTTATTAAGTTACTGGCGCGTTCTTACGTCGCGCGTAATTAACTATTATAGCTAATGAAAAAATAAATAGAAGTGCTAGTCACATAACTCCTCTTGGGCGTGTTTACTGATAAGATGGATGTGTTATGTTAACACATGGTAATGTTGCCGGTGTCTAAAAGAATAGAACAGAATGTTGTTTACTAATACGGACATAACTTCTCCACCTACATTGCATTGGTTGTAGAGAAGTATAGGTAGCCAGAAGTGAAAGGATTCGCCATTATCATTCCGCTAAGCCTAATGAAAAAAAAAAACAACAGAACGAGAGCAAATAAATTACAATGTACATAATTGTAGAAAAACGATTTATAGGCGCCTAACACATAAGGCTACTGCCCCAACTTTTTCCAGTTATCGTACATACACTATTATTACTAACTATGTTTTTAACTTCACCCCTCACCTTCGAACAAAGTTAAACATTCCTGACTTGATCATTGTGTCAAAGAAGTCTGATTGAATTGCCACTCAGTGGTTCAGCGGTAAGTCTGAAAACTTATAACGCTAAAAACCGGGTTTCGATACCCGTGGTTGGCAATGTGTAGCGTTGTGCTTAACTACAAACAACAACAGCAGATTGAATTATCTAACTGTTTAACTACAAACAACAACAACAGCAGATTGAATTCTCTAAATGTTTAACTACAAACAACAACAACAGTAGATTGAATTCTCTAACTGTTTAACTACAAACAACAACAACAGCAGATTGAATTATGTAACTGTTTAACTACAAACAACAACAACAGCAGATCGAATTATGTAACTGTTTAACTACAAACAACAACAGCAGATTGAACTATCTAACTGTTTATAGTTTTTAATTACTAAGTTATTATAGATGCTGATCATGTAAAATATAAATTATTAAATGTAAAGTGTCAGTGTGAATTTTCTGAATGAGATAATTAAATTTTCGGAGTTGTGCAGAATCGACGGAATAGAGCTAATTACGTTTTTTAGATCTCTGAAGAATCGACGGAATAAAGCTAATTACGTTTTTTAGATCTCTGAAGAATCGACGGAATAGACCTAATTAAATTTTTAGATCTCTGAAGAATCGACGGAATAGAGCTAATTAAGTTTTCAGATCTCTGAAGAATCGACGGAATAAAGCTAATTAAGTTTGTTAATCTCTGCAGAATCGGCGGAATAGAGCTAATTACGTTTTTAGATCTCTGAAGAATCGACGGAATAGATAAAAACGTAATTAGCTCTATTCCGCCGATTCTGCAGAGATTAACAAACTTAATTAGCTTTATTACGTCGATTCTTCAGAGATCTGAAAACTTAATTAGCGATCTCTGAAGAATCGACGGAATAGAGCTAATTAAGTTTGTTAATCTCTGCAGAATCGGCGGAATAGAGCTAATTACGTTTTTAGATCTCTGAAGAATCGACGGAATAGAGCTAATTAAGTTTGTTAATCTCTGCAGAATCGGCGGAATAGAGCTAATTAAGTTTTCAGATCTTTGAAGAATCGACGGAATAGAGCTAATTAAGTTTTAGATCTCTACAGAATCGAGAGAATAGAGCTAATTAAGTTTTTAGATCTCTACAGAACCGACGGAATATAGATAATTAAGTATTTAGTTTTCTGTAGAATCGACGGAATATAGCTTTAGTTCTAAAGCTCTGCAGAAACAACAGGGTATCATAAGCATACTTATTTACTATTACTGGTAACGCAACATTCAAATCAGATAAAAAAAAAACCAACAGACTATGTAACGTTTTACAGTCAAGCAAGTTAGTAACTAATATTGATTTCTGAACAAAGCAAGCTTCCTATCTAGATCACAACTAAAAACAAACCTAGTGATGAAAATAACTAATATAATATACTGCTTTTATTTCTTACTTATAATACGTTGTTTAACCCGTTACTTGTTAGTGATATCTTCGTCCGTAATCCCAATAATATCCCACGAGGTTCGGTCAGCTTCGGAAATTTAGGTTAGTTATAAATCCACGATCTAAGCTAAAATCGCCTAAATAATCCTTACAATAAACATTTATAATAATAGAAAAATTAAAGAAACAATGACAAAAGATAAATTAAACATTCTAACCAATACTTTTAATGAAATAACATTAAATAAAGAATAAAATATAACTCATAGAACACATAAATACTAGTATTGTGTTTGATGCAGTGTTGTAGATTTGATGTCCCTTGAAGAACAAGGCAGTACAGACAGTACAGCAAAAAAACAACAAAAAACTCATGTTTATAAAAAATATAAATCAAATGAATTAATAATTTACGGATTAATGAAATAGATTGATATTAAACAAATGAATAATTAATGAAATAAGTTAAGATTAAGTCTATCAATGGTCAATGAAATAAATTAAAAATAAATAACAAATTAAAAATAAACTCGTTAAAGCCTGGAGTGTTTTATTTTTTTTTGTTTTTTGTTAGCTAGATGGCGCTTTTGGTACCCAACTTACTTAAGTTTCTGGATCAAGGTAAGAAGTACTTACAAATATCTTACGAAAACAGATTAGATTCTGGTTGAAATATAGCCGAGTTAGAGAAAGAAGTTCCACTTTATGGAAGGGGGTTTAGTATAGTTATAAGTCTATGGGAGGGTGTTTAGTATAGATGTAAGTCTATGGGAGGGGTTTATTATAGATATATGTCTATGGAAGGGGTATAGACATAGATATAAGTCTATGGAAGGGGGTTTAGTATGGATATAAGTTTGTGGAAGGGTTTAGTATAGACATAAGTTTGTGGAGGGTTTAGTATAGATATATTTGTATGGAAGGGGTTTAGTATACACATAAGTTTATGGAAGGGGTTTGGTTTAGTATACAAGTGTATGGAAGAGGTTTAGTATAGATATAAGTCTTAAATTAAATAAGTCATAGTTGAGACTAAATAGCTTCCCCCATCCCCAGTTAGAAAATAAATGACATAGTAAGGGTTTCTTATTTAAAACAAAAACCTCGCCCTACTTGTAAACAGAATGCAAAATATAGTACAAACCATATTCAGTACACTGTTCTAAACTGATTCTGACAGTTCATATTCAGTACAGTGTTCTATACTCATTCCGACAGTTCATATTCAGTGCACTGTTCTATACTGATTCCGACAGCTCATATTCAGTGCACTGTTCTATACTGATTCCGACAGTTCATATTCAGTGCACTGTTCTATACTTATTCTGACAGTTCATATTCAGTACCCTGTTCTATACTGATTTCGACAGTTCATATTCAGTGCATTGTTCTATACTGATTCCGACAGTTCATAATCAGTACACTGTTTTATACTGATTCCGACAGTTCATATTCGGTACACTGTTCTATACTGATTTCGAAAGTTCATATTCAGTGCACTGTTCTATACTGATTTCGACAGTTCATATTCAGTGCACTGTTCTATACTGATTTCGACAGTTCATATTCAGTGCACTGTTCTATACTGATTCCGACAGTTCATATTCAGTACACTGTTCTATACTGATTCCGACAGTTCATATTTGGTACACTGTTCTAGACTGATTCGAACAGTTCATATTCAGTGCACTGTTCTATACTGATTCCGACAGTTCATATTCGGTACACTGTTCTATACTGATTCCTACAGTTCATATTCAGTACACTGTTCTATACTGATTCCTACAGTTCATATTCAGTGCACTGTTCTATACTGATTCCGACAAGTTGATGCGTTTTAATGTTTTATACTGTTTACATAAAATAAAAGCTTGCTTAAATAATTAGATTCTTTGAGAAACTGGCATCAGTCAACCAAATGATGCGACACCATGATGTTACTAACTCAATTTGATAAGTACAGGATGTTTTAAAGTGAAAAACGAAAATATGACATCAAATTTATCAGTAACCAAGTATATTCAACAGTATGACATTGAAATTGTTTACTAACGTAACACTGTTAACTCAGTCAATAATAAAACGATGTTGAAACTGTTTAATAATACTAGTACCTGAATACAATAAAAACCAGAGGGCACTCAGTAAAGCATACCTCCGCCATGCAGCGTTCATCGTATTCGGCTCTCATACAATAGGAAAATGTGTCCGAATGTCCGTTGTTATTAACGGACACAAACCATATTTTGGCAGGACAACAAGGTGTAATAATATTCTACATATGTCCACCAAGTTTTATTAAAAGCCGATCATTTTTGACTGAGTTATAGAGCAAAAATAGTGTGAAAAATCGGTACCCAGATAGGGATTTTTTTTAATTTTCGTGACCTTTGTTGAGACCTTGACCTTTGACCTTCACCGTCCAAAAATAAAAACTTCTAAGTTGGGTCATAGTCCAAATGTGTATCAACTTTTGTCCAAATCCATTCAGCCGTTTTCGGCTAACAAACACACACAGGGGTGAAAACATAACCTCCGTCCACCTTTGGTGACGGAGGTAATAATAATGATGTTGAAACTGTTAACGATAACGGCAGTACCTAAATACAATAAAAAAAAAACGGTGTTGAAGCTGCTTAATAATAATAATAGTACCTAACTACAATACCAAAGATGATGTTTAAGCAGCAGTTAACAAGAGTTAAATGGAGTAATTAATATAATACCACTTAATTAAAGATGTCAAGTAGCAAAGGCTTAAAAACTTTGTTTTTAAGATATAACTAACCCTACCGTAGCATGCAACAACAAATAAAATAAGGTTGGTATTATTATAAAATACTTACCCCATCCTACCAAGTAGTAAATTTTGAAAGGAGCATCCTTACTGAACACAGAGATTGTGATCCTAGTATGTAGAAGGAGACCTTCTATAAACATCCAGTTTATGCTAGCCATGGCGGCGTACATTTTGAGGGATAAAATTGTTTTACATAACCAGTCCTGTAAATGAAATAACGCAAGGCTGATTTCTTTGAGTATTAGACACATGCTGAATGACGATTAAAACATTTTAGTAAAGACACTGGAAATCAAACATATCTCTCAGATTTGCGTTGTTCTTTGTGTAAGTTAAGGTACCTATAATGACACTATAATGACCTATAATGAAGTGAAAACAAAAAATCAATTATTGAGATTATAATCACCGAATGAATGGCTGTATTTTAATTCTTCATATTAAATACCAGTGGATAATAATATTTTTCTTTTAAGTTCCACAGAAGTTTAAAATATTTTTGGATTACTGCTCACACAAAAGACACAAATTTGTAACTTGGAAGTTACACGTAAGTGATTAAACCACTACAACGTGTTACACGTAAGTGATTAAACCATTACAACATGTTACACGTAAGTGGTTAATATACCACAATAAGTTACACGTAAGTGCTTATACCATTACAACATGTTACACGTAGGTGGTTAATGTACCACAATAAGTTACACGTAAGTGATTATACCGCGACAATATGTTAGACGTGTGGTTAATGTACCACAATAAGTTACACGTAGGTGGTTAAACCACTACAGCATGTTACGTGTAGGTGGTTAATGTACCACAATAAGTTACACGCAAGTGACGAAACCACTACAGCATGTTACACGTAAGTGATGAAACCACTACAGCATGTTACACGTAAGTGATTAAACCGCTACAACTTGTTACACATAGGTAGTTAATGTACCACAATAAGTTACACGTAAGTGATTAAACGATTATAAGTTACGCAAAATCCATATAACCACTGTAAATAAATTACACACGGCCAATTATACCACTGCATTATGCTAGACGTAACTGATTAAACTACGCAATAAGTTACACATAAAGTGTCGCATGTAACATTTATCTTTAAGAAGTGTATCGAAGTGGTGCACATGAGCTAATAATCATTAATCAATACGTACAATAGGTTTGTTGCACAAAAAACATTACACTAACATTAACTTAATATCAGAGCAAGCTACCTACTTAGAGCGAAACTAAAAAATAATAAATCAACCTTTTACTAATTTTAGATAATTAAGTATATTTTCCAAACGCTCTTGTTTATAAAGATTAGAATTTCCGGCCGTAATCCCAATAATATCTCATGAGGCTAGGCCAGCTTAGGAGATTTAGGTTAGTCCTAAATACATATATTAAGCTGATAATGCACAACAAGTAATGAATTTAGATATATTATCCAGTACTGTTAATGAAAGTAACAGTAAAGAGGTTAGAATGTATACGTTACTTGTGGAACAAAAAACTAACAAAAAAAAAGGTACCAGCTTTTGTCTTTAAGTACTGTCGCTCTTTTACCATATTTTTACTACACGTTTCGAACGCATTATTGAAACCTACACTCCAGGAAGGTGCAATTTATAAACACTTCAAATACAGTAAAGGATTTACACGACCAAAATGACCTTTAAGTAATATTTGAACTTACACGACCAAAATTACCTTTAAGTAATATTTGAATTACACGACAAAATGACCTTCAAGTAATATTTGAATTTACATGACTAAAATGACCTTCAAGTAATATTTGAACTTACATGACCAAAATGATCTTCAAGTAATATTTGAATTTACATGACTAAAATGACCTTTAAGTAATATTTGAACATACAGTCGTGGGAGG